ACTCATTCATATAAGCGAATTGTATGGCAAAACACATATCATGTAAACGGAAGTTTATAGTTTACATCAATAGTGTGAAGTATATATTCACGTCCCGATCGGGGTAAGGTTAGGAGGGTATCCGTTACAGACTGGTGCCCGAAGTATGTAGACTATTCCCTAGGATGGAAAAAGAACATCATGGATGGAAACATCATGATGGTATAAGTCAGTAAACTTGCTTACTGAAAAACGGGGGCCATGCATACAGGACCAAGTATGATCCAAAGGCACCCAATCTCCGTTAAGTTACTCCTACTTGTTGTTCTCATGTGCAAAAAAATCGATCAAATACTACTTAAATACCATCATCATGACAATCGGCTTCAGGTAACATTTTCCAGCTCGTTTCGCCACGTGCAGAATAAATTTACCTATATAGTCGATATACGGGGGGTTGAATCAACGAATCATGTATGGGGCGTCTTAAATTGTGTATGAAGGGGGTGTCTACTATATCAAATCGTGGTGACAGGGGTATATGCTATATGGTTCAGTGTCACGTAATTTTTGAGAGGTTATATTGATCCTCAACGTCACACAGGGGTACGGGCGTGTCAAAAAGTGACGAAAAGAGCGTCACCTATTTTGTTAACGGCCGATTTAATTTTCGACACTTCTGAGCGATTATCTAAAAATTAAGGGTAACAGCACCCGGTCAGGTGATAGCTATGAAGTTCGACTCTTTCCGGATGCAATCCGGTATTCTATATTGGTATTGTTTAAATGGAAATGAAATCAAGTTTCTGCGTGCACTTGTATTGCAGACTTTCAGACACGCATGGAAATCCTGTTGTATAAAAGTAAGAAAATATGTTATATAACTACAGTGAAACACGCAATTTGATTGGTCACTAGCCGTGCAGGACCAGGCAATCCTGCAGGAGGAATTTAAAGCCGGTTTTCCACTAGCGATATTTTTCGCGCGAAGCGACATATTACTTTTGTTTCAGAGCTCGCAACTGCAACCATCTGGAACAAATTGCTCAAATACAAAGGAATAAAGTCGCTTCGCGCGAAAAATATCGCTAGTGGAAAACCGGCTTAAAAGCACTAGCTCTCGGGATTTTCGCAGGATTCTCGTTGTTTCACTGTATTTATTTTATAAAACAATTACCAAATGTTTTTTCGTGCAGGATACGTCGACACATGCAAGGGGAGTGGTCAAAATATGGGTTCTATTCTAGGTTTTAAGTTAAGGGGTCTTTTAGTGTAAGTTTTAATAATGCACACACATTGCAGTTACAAGGACAGAATTACGTGGTTATATACAGATGAAAATAAGCTAAAAAATTAAATTATATACCCCAATTGAACAGGTATAGTTACAGTATTATATACAAAAATTACAGTATAGTTTATAGGTTATAAAATTGAATTATTCATATAGGCAACTACTAACGGTAGAAGAGTTTTTAAAACAGTCTAAAAACTTGGCAGTAAAACTATAATCTATAAGTTTTGACTATATTTATATCATATGAAATTGCCACAGACGGTATGAAGCTCTTCCAACAATAAATAGAACCGATCTCCGTAAAATAGAGTTGGAAGCATCATCACATGAAGCGGTTAGAGAATGAGATTTGTTACATTTATATTGAACTGGAGTTTCTAAATTGCTTTGTTTAAGCTTTTGTTTGTTGTATCAGAAATATGAAGTAATTCACATATATCCAGATCATGCATGGAATTTCGATCACAATGATTCACACGCCCTGCATGTGCATGCCTTTCATGCCATGGAAGCAAACCCTATATATGGCGCTTGGATGATTCGGGATTCTACTCGCATTACATCGCGACCACACGACACCAATATGTGTGTAGCAATATATCCTTGATATTTTACTACGCACTTCGGAATACAATTACCTTTTTGCAACTGTTTCTAGTTAAAACATACGGTTTTAGTTACACCCCCGGAACAATCAACCTTGATATACTATCTACTTTTCTTTAACAGTTACTCTTAGAGAAAATTGGAACTATGTACCATATGATTTATGTTTTGTAAGAGTAAGAAGTTACCTTATCCATTTTTAACGTATGAATGTTGGTTGAGCATCAAAGAAAAGCATCGAACCTACGCAACTAATGCAAGTGAATTTAAAGGAAGGATGATAATTTGTTTGCAGTCAAGTGGCGTTTCCCCAAATGATCAGACGGCCAAATTAAGCGACTTTACGGCGAACTCTTACAGACAGTGCATGGAGTAGTTCAAATTTGACACAAATACTCGACCAAAATACTATACAATACGCGTTTTTGTTACACTGGCCGACGTCTGATATGTCAAAATACACAAAACTAATTGCACCACAAGCAAAACTAAGCCCTACTAATTTCAAGCTACATCATACTTATACGCCTCGTGTGACGAGAGTTATCGTGCAGCAAATCTGGGTTAAGTTTACCACCTTTAATGCGCTCACAATAAAGCAAATAAATCCATGCTCACTTGGAGCCTTGACAGTGGGGCTATAGTTACTCATCTAATGACTATACGCACAACCTATTGTTCTGCGCCTTTCGTTTGCTGTGATAGCAAGACAATAGCGCGATCAATTCTAATCACACAACAGAAATGCCGACCTCTGAAAATGGCATTAATATATAGAGGGAAGAATAGGTAGAAAGGTATCCTGCAATGACCATTGTGTTGGCGCTGTAGGATATATGTTTACTGCGAAGAATAAGGACTCCGAAGTTAGCAATGAATACCGAAAGCCTTCGACAGGCAATGCATCAAATATCCATGGTTCTCGACAAAAAAAACCACTTGCCTCGCGGAATCTTAATTGCTTTTTCAATGCTTTAATCAGCATGCACGTTTCTTTCTTATCAGGTAAATCTTTCGGTATGAATTTTCCGAAACAATTACGATTAATTCTCATCATCAGCTACGCTTGGCACAGCGCACGTTAATCGTTATATTTTTGCGAAGGCGACGGCGTTAGAACTGTATGCTTTCTCCGGAATATCACGGCAGTCTTACAATTGGAGATATACGTGTATGATATAGCTATATGTGATTGTATTTGTTGTGTAGTCATAAAAGTCATAAAATATTAAATTTTATTTAAAAAACAACGACCACGCTTCACCACATTTGTAGAAATTCTATCAATTATTTAACAAAACTGGCCATAAACTTAAGTCATGTGGTTTACGACAAGAATATATGTGTACATAATACGTCCAGCCAAAATGCATTTTTCAGGATTATTCCTCGATCAAATGACCTCTTAAAATAGTTCATTCTATTGAGCTTAAAATAGATTGTTCTGGTGACAAATAGGTTATTTGCGTGCAAGTAGCTAAAATAAGCCTACGAGCGTAAATGTCATAACAATGTTGTTTACGAACCTTTTGACAACATCAGTGCGCATGCGTCAAAGAATATGCCATTCCTACCTACTAGATTTGCGACTACTTCTTTAGGCCATCTTCGAAATTATCCAAATCAGAGATGATATAAACTGTTAGAATTTTTCATTCATTATCTTTTGCAAATTTCATACTATACTATAGATTTATAGTACAGAATAATTATAGCATATAGTGATTGACTGAAATATGATTTCTATTGTCTAGTGTCTACAGTTGAGTATTGATTTCTATAGTTTACGGATTTTTTTTCCTCTGTTATTTACACTGAAACGTTGTATCGTGCCTTTATATGGAGAAGTTGTAACATATAACAGACTTATTTTGTTACTATTTTTGGCACATGTTTGTGAAAAACAAAATTTTTTTCTGTTAGTGGTCATGAGGGAAAAATACGATTGGCCTGTGAAGGTCGCTCTTTGTCATCAAAAACCAAAATATTTATTCAATTAGTCATTTGCACAGGTATATAAATATGCCTTTTCATTTCATTTCTATGTGAAAATCCGCGTCGTCATAAACAAAAATGGCGTGTTATTTTTATACGTGATATGATATCCTAAAACGTGGGAGGCCTTGTGCCCATTAAACGAACAATTTTTGAGCTGTTTATTATCATATAGAATTATAGTTCTTGTGAAATATTCAAACACTGAACTAAACAGCGCGTAAATAATAATGTATAAAAAACCCTGTTGTATACGGTCTAACATTTACTTAAGGATGATGAGGACATGACTGGATTAGCTGGTTGCGGCTTCGCGGTGCATTCTGGACCTGTATGAGCCTGCAAGAAACATGAAAACAAACTACTAAACTCCGACTGGATTCAGCTTTAATTTAATTTAATAAGTATGAGCAGTTAAATATACATAAATTATTCAATTCTATACAGTCCTTTTATTCAATGATATTTACTGTGAAGAATTTCGGTCAAAATAGAGAACCTTTCGCTGGTCATGAATTGAAAGGGAGTGAATGCGGGCACAACGCACGTCGGGGTTTTTTTCTGGATGTAGCATGATGGCAACGGAAAATAAACCGAAGAGTATAACCATAGATAGACCTTAACAGATTTTTTCACAATATAAATCTGGAATACTTTGCCAGAATTATAAGCTATTGCAAGAAAATAACCTCAAAGCCTTCTGTGCTTGGTATATATTACTTCATCAAATAGTCTGTTACATAAAAGTTGGTGGAAGATATAGGCAAAAGATAGACTTTTTTATGAGCACCCAGTGTTGATATCAGCCGAGTTGCGTTGCCAAATTTCAGCTATTTGACTCAGCAAATGAGGGGAACGTAAGCAATCCCAGCTCGGCATCTTAGCACGCGTGAGACATTTTTGAGATGGTTTTATATCCTTGCACATTGTTCTGTATCAAACGTGCCCATTTCTGGTATGTTTGGCATGAACAGGGTTGTCTCTGATGAATGATACACATGCACTTTTAAACAAATTACCTGGAATTAATAACAATTTTTGTTTTAGCCAACAATATGCGCACATATTTAATATGACCAATTAGAAAAATTAGACGTTTAGCTATGTTACATTGTGTGAATTTTCGTGCAAGGCCTCACAGGAGAATCATTGAAAAACTTATCCTATACTAATATATTCTTTGTCCCTGCAGGCAGTAAGAAGAGCACAATGATCACTGGCCTGCATGCAACCTGTCGCCAGTGGTTCGGATACAACTACAAGCTAGACTAAGAACACTTGTTATGTTACTGATAATATTAACACATGCTGTCGTGAGTTCACTACCAGTTCGAGAGATTCGATAATGTTTAATACGAAGCTTTCGTTTATCTTGACATTTCAACAAACATTCATAAAATATTTTATGCAAAAAAAGTCTTTCATAAATTAGGAAGGTTTTCGTGCAATATAGATATTTTACATTCAACACTTTTTACTGACATCGTGGATGATAGCTATATATAACGTAATCTGGTTAGTTGCATCGGTACAAAAATCTCGCTTCGCACACAGTTTTGATTAAGGGAGCTAGAAATTGATTTTGTAAGGAACAGAAAGATGCTTCAGGATGCTGCATGCTATATGATATACATAAATCCAAGTTATATAACGATGATATTATAATTTTAATTTGTACGGGTGAAAACTCAGAATCCAAGATGAATTAACAATTTTCAATTGTCATTCTTATATCTTTAGATAATAAGAATCGTAGATGTACCGTATTCTCTCCATTAAGTCCCTGTGAAGCTATTTCTCTCAATTATATATTAGTATATAGCTATATTATGCATCCATTTGGTATCATTGATATATTAGTATATGTAAACAAATACTGAATATTACAATTTCTGCGTCATAAACATGCTCAACAGCCAAATATGAAGAAAATAAGACAGTAACACCTCAGTCTCAAGGAAATAATCGTCCTTAATTATCAGACACGAGACTATGAAAACTCCAATGAAGGGCGCATATTAAATTACTATAGAGGCCAGGTGCATGGGCATGATAAATGTTTAAGAGGGCGACAAAATGGGAAGAATACGGTGAACATTTCGATCCCTTTATTATTGGATAAAGAAATAATTGATAGTAAAAATATTCCTATAATTATACACAGCTGGAGCTTCTTCGTGCACCTATACTCGAATACAGTATGTGCCTAAATTTAGTGAACCGAGTTTTGAATGACTATAATTACACTATTTATACATAAAGATTCTATCCGTTTTCGAATAGAAAAAAATATATAAGTTTTCGACTCGATGCCCAGTGGCTGGTTGTATAAAATTAGTTAAACCATAAGTATACTGACCACAGTTGATTAAATAATCACAGTCCAGGTTCGCGGAATTTCTTACCACAATTTAATTGTGGAAAGATAGTGGTGGAATGAGCGGTCGAGAAACCGAACTGTAGTTTCGAGCTAGAGTGTTTTTTTTCTTAAATGTGCATTCTATTTTTGTCCATTTCTGGAATTGTCTGCTGAATTCAGTTGAGTACCCCCAATTGTGAATTGGATTATTGATATTTGTGCTCTGTGCATGTATTTAACGGGGCCTACACTGTTTAAACAATAGCACACGTCCGGTTCATGCGAATTCCCATTTCAGGCCATTTGATTATATGTTTTACATCGACAGGAATTCATGCATCTTCACTTGTTCTAGTGTTTCACCACCATATCCGATCTTCCATAATCCGACGTTGTTTAACTGCCGGGATATATCCAAGCAAGTACCTTAGATTTTAGTGCTTGAAAATTGAAATAGACTCCTCACACCATTCCGTCAACGTGAGCAGCCAAGTTGTCAATTCCGAGGGTCATGGGGCCACCAGGTCTTGTCGAGGTAGCCTTGTCTTCAACTGTTTTGATTTGTACACTTTCAACTCTTGTTAGACCGTGGGGGATCACACCGTTTTTCGGTTGCTTATCTTTAGGCCTCTGGAGTTTTTTCTTTTCCTTTTCCACTGAAGCAGGCTCTTGTGTTGAGTTAGCGCGGCTTCGTCTTTGCTCAGCCATGGATGAAGTAGAGTCGAACCTACTTAGGTCTTGGCTAGATCTGAATGTAGCCGACGAAGGCCTCACGAGTTGTGAGTTAAGTTTCAGGAGTTTTCGTATCTCGTTTTTTACGTCTTTTTTCCATAGTGCATAAATGATTGGATTTATTGCGCTGTTCGCTACTAGCAGCAGCCTTGAGGCGTTTGTCAAATCCCAAGGGACGTCCATGAGTTGGTACTGTGTTACAATGGTTCTGTATGCCGAAAGACTCCAACAGACAACAAACATTACCACAACGGTACCTATGGAGAAGTACAGTAGAATTTAGAGACATATTTGCACTGTAATAACAGTAAACAATCACCTTGCATCCATTTATTGGAACATTTTTTATTGGGTTAAAACAACTAAAATCATAGTTAAACAATCAGTTGTTTTTACCATTAAATAAAATTGATCAAAAATAGATGAATCTAAGACAACTTTAAGTTTCAAGTTAGTTGATTGATTGAAAACTTTCTTTCATGCAAGAGGGTAACAGATAACAGTTCGTAAAAACTGATGAACCACTGTCCCTCAAACTAAAAACATTAAGTTATTTACAATTTATCTAACTTAATGTATTTAGTTTGAGAGCCATGTGGTTCAGTTTAAATAGGTCCAAGTTTAAATAAGTTTTTAACAATTTTCTTTTACACAGTGTAAATATAGAATTCGATCTCTCGGCCTTTGCGATTTGTCCTGTTATCTAAAATTTTGGTGTTCATTGATTGTGAAAACAATAAATTTCTAAAGAAATGAATAGTTATAACTCAAAATTTTACATAGCGGGACAAAATCGTTAGGCTGGCTACGCCACTGTTTGTGAAGATACGTTAGTGAATGTCTATTAATAATTAGTATACACCTGACTATTGTCTATTACAAATCCTACATTCTGATTGGCTACTCAACCATCGTCTATTCGTGATAGTGCACGTTTGGGAAAAATTCGCTCGCGCGACCGTATAAAATTGAATTAATTAAATTATTTTTCGGTGAAATTTTGCGGTGTATCGATTATTTCCTCGAAATTAATATATCTAGGTACAGGGTGTATACTAAAACAATTAGACAACTCGCCTTCGTTGCCTATGAGCGGATAGTCAACTCAGGCTTCGCCTTCGTTGACTATTCGCTCATAGACAACTCGGACTCGTTGTCTAATTGTTAATTAGTCAATAATTATTCCGAAGTGCCTTATAATAGAATTGCAAGCCGAAGCAATTCATTGCTCATTAAAATCGAACGAAAATGCTTCAGCAACATGCATCCCAAAATTAAAAAGTGATAGTCATGTAGTTTAGAAAGAGCTTTCCTCCATAAACTTTGGAATTGGAGATAATTATTTCTGCATTCAATTATTCAAGCTAAATCAAAACACTGAAATAGACGAACGTTTTGCAATTAAAGCGTCAGTTTATGAAGACACTTTAGTGGAGAGATCAGTTTCGACAATAAAAAATAAGCCAGCAAGTAATATAGGATAAAAATATTTAGTGTTATAAGCTGACAAAATAGAGCTTGTTCCGAAGCTAGTCTTTACCTTTAAACTTTATTTTACTTGAAAACAATGAACACAATGAAAATTAGATCCGTGGCCAATTAATTTTTTGCGAAACAGCTATAGCCTATACAGTGATTTTCTCATGTCAAATGGTATTTAACAAGGAAATAAAAGAATCATATCTCTTGCACTCGTCATATATAAATGGCTGCATGGGAACTGCTGGTCTATAGTCCATCGTCAAATTGTATGAACGTCGAACATTAAACATCGCATATATCACTATATATTAATTCCATACGTTTCAGGTCTACTTTAGAATTATCATCGGGCTAACTACCAACAATTGCAAAAAGGGAATTATATGAAACCACTGTCTCTGCGAGTCGATATTATGATCATTTCATATCTTTTACTGGAACATACTTTGCATTTTATTGCGCAAAAAGAGAAGCTACCACTGCATATATAGCTATATTGAAATCTTATAAAGCCTGTTAAGACGTAATTTTTTGGATTTTGGAGTAAAAAATCCAGGCTTAACAAAACTTACCAAATACTTTCAAGGTTGCTTTTGCTTCCCTTGTAGATGAGGTTGGAATTGAGTTCGACCTTGGTCCTGTACCAACATTGCTGACACTTCGCATCACTTGTCTCATATGTCGCGTTTGTTTCCAGGCAATGTTAAAAATGACCACATATGCGATCAACATTATAAGACAGGGAAAGAACATGAATAATACAACTTGTAAGGTGTAGAAGATCTTGTTATCTTCCATTTGATTTTCGATGCTTGTGTCCGTATAGAGCCATGCCACAGGAACTAGGGATGCAATACTTGGTACGATCCAACTAAACATAATCATAGCTATAACAGATTTACGAGTGATTTTCATGTGGTACCTGAGTGGTCTTGTAACTGCTAAAAACCTATCGAACGTTATGCAACAGAGGTTGCAGACAGATACAAACAGGAACGCATCGTAGAACAGTTTTGCAAGAAGATTGTCACATGTGACGTACATGCACGCCAAAAACGATGGAATTATGCATGTTCCTACCAAAAGATCTGATACGGCTAGAGAAACGACCATGAAATTCGTTTTGGTACGTAAGCGATGTCTTGTAGCAATTAAATATATCACAAGCCCGTTGCCGAATATTGTTAGCACTCCGACTATTACCAAACCAACCTTAATCCAGACAGGGAAAGCTGGTGGGCTTGGGCGGTGCCCCAGGTACAGGAGGATTTGTGCCGTTATTGCTTGTCGTTGGACCCGAAACTGTTGTATTTGTGGCGTTGTTCATCGGGGTAGCAGTCGTATTATTGCTGATGATGGTCGTTGTCATTTCAGTGGTGATGTTATTGATGGTGGTGGTAAGAATAGCTGCGACTGTGCTGGTGATATTAGTAACATTTGTACCATTGCTGATGGTACTATTCATCTTGGTAGCAGCTTCTTTGATTTACAGGCACCTTATTTGTTTTTATCTATGCCACCGAGTTACTCATACATAGGCAAAATAGTTTCGCAGAAGTCTGTTGTTTCGTTCCGCTTCAAATTGCTTGTTTCAAATTAGATTATCCCACAGGTCACCTACTCTTTCTGTCGCTGCTAACTTTTTTCACTTCTCCGCTTTCAAATCTACACTTTTTCCTAACCCAATCGTTCACTGTTACAGGCAGAATCGTGAGCAGCTTTGGTAGCGAACAGAACTCAAAACGAACAGCGTTCTATTTGTCTCGACGCTGGAGACCGTTTGCGAAAAGAATAGCCGGTCCGCTAGAAACGACAGGCGGTCCGTGAACTTCTAAAGCTCTCTAAAAGCAATCAAAAAAGTGTAAGTCATGCGATAAAACGAATTATGAATATCTTACACAGGGGCTCTGGAACAATTACAATGAAAAAGCCGCATCGGTGTCTCTTATAACCGCTTAAAAACGCTATTCTTTCATCATTGTCTACATTTTAGAATCGACAAATGGATTGGGACTCATCCAAGTTGCAGAAACGTGCGTATTTCTGCTGAAGCTTTGAACAAGTGCAGAAAAAATATACCCCGTGACACGACGGGGCATCGTGACTAACTATTCTGTCAAACTGCAAATGTGCATAAATCAAAAGCCTCATTGATTTTGAAACTGCATTAAAACCTAAACACACAACCTATTTTAGCGAAGTTATTTTTCCAATAACGTTAAAAAGTCGCGCTATATGCCATATTCAAACCAACCATAGTCTGATCATTGACTGCATATGCAATGACCACGGCTGAACTTTACTATAACGACGCGGCTTCCCAGTCGTCCAGTTCTCGGATTATACAGGAATTCATTAGTTTAGGTATGCTCTGCTCGAATTCGCCCTGTACTGAAGAACGTCGCGTCCTGTGTACTTGTCGAAGTCTAGTGATAGGATGCAAGAAAACTAGCAATTATAATGTCGACCAACTTCTTACATGAAACAGGAAATGCTAGGTTTTAGTAAAGATAGGCGTGACAATAAATTTTGTATAATTTCATAAAGAAGATTCATTTTCTTCAGTAGCGGGTTTTAAAGAAACCGCATCGCATTTTCCTTAGTGGCAGTGCAGAGAACTGATCGGTTTGCATCAAACGGAATTGTTTCCACGGCCATCCTTATCGAGTTATGAGCTTTGAACTATATATTTGTTGCCTTAACATCGCTATTTTAAACGTATATTCATACGAACACAGTTAGATATTGTACTTACCTCTTGCAACTGCCACTTAAACTATTGCCCAATTACTTGAGCGCTATATATGCGATGCATGATAACAAAATGAAGCAATACTTGATCTGTTAGTTTAAACCGTCTTCGCAGAATGGTTGCCAAAAAACACGAAGGTTCTTAAGTAGATCACTTGCCGCTTTGAATGGACGTTTTACTACACTATTTTTCTTCCTGGATCTACTCAGATTTATCGTCTTCAATCGGTCGAAGGTAAACGCAAAATGTCGATTCTGCGTTTCGCGAAAGAGAGAATATACTAACCACACAAGCGATAATTATAATTCGTCTAACCTGTGAGTTACATTCCATAACATTTCGCGTCATTTCACAAATATTTCTTAGTTTGTAAGATTCTATAGAGTCCTTTGTACACCACGCCAAAGGAGGCTGTCTATTTTTAGTCTACCCCGCCGTGTATCAGTTTATGATTATGACAAACATGGTCATAAATCGAGCCATTGGTACTCGTAAGCATGTGTATTGGAAACAGTTATAGATTGAGATAATTAAAACACATTTTTACATTATGCTGCAATATTGTGTGAGTCAATGAGTGACAGTGAAGCCAATATGACTAAGCGGAATTGCGTGAAGATATATTTGAATTGGAAACGGACAATAAAGCGATATAATGCTTGAGCTATGATAAAGAAGCTAAATTTGGCATGCAGTAACTGGTCAGCTGCCTGATAAAATAAAACGAATGAAGAGACAAGCCGCAACCGATTCCAGAGAGTTTCGTCATCCTAATTTTAGAACACTCTTGTCTCATATGATCATGTCGGATAAATTGAAATCGCCTAGCACACTAATAGACCCCTTGAGGCATTAATATAAGAATGATTAACACTTGAAAAACCTTGTCAATCAGTGGGAACTCCGTCCAGCTCAGAACCGACTCATTTACTCTTGTAAATGTCGTGCTTAAGGCGACAAATAAACTTAACTCAAAAAATAGTACACCGGTTTTTCAAATCGGTTCGTATCAAATGCCGTAACGGCCCGTAACGCTAACAAAATCACATCTTGTAAAACCGCCAGAGACATTCATTCAGCCATTTATAAATGAAGATCCTCGTATCTCCTGAGTCCTGAGTGATTCTCCTCCTAAACCAAACACGCGCCAACGCAATATTCCGATTCGACATTTTTCTGAGGAAGGAAGCACAAATCGGGATTCCGGATAATTGCATTTATTTATTTAGTGGCAGATTGGCGACTAAAATCGTACCTGCATGATATCAGTTTTAATGCAGATCAACAAAAACAAGGAAATATCTGAGGCCTTTCTCCTTTTGAGAAACTCTGATGGAGATAACCAGCTGTAAATAACTTATTATCTATGGTATATATTACACCGAAAAATGCGAACAATACAGATTGAATGTGCATTGAGGTCACCTAGTTAAATTACAAAGGATTTTTAAACATATTCCCATAGCTATTTTTCTTTCAGTTCAGATATCCTGCCTCATCAAAGAATTCTAATCACTACAGTCTTCGGTGTCATATGCTGGACTGATTTTTTAATTGATATATCCGATGTTAAAATGTCTGAGCATCCAGCTACTTTTCTGATCTCTATATACATACTGACATACAGTACGTAGCTGTGACGAGCTCTGCTCTTTTAGTTTCAACATAGAGCTATAGTCAGACAATTAATCCTTGTTAATATCGCCATCTTTTTCTCAGCAAATTTAATATTGCATGTATGTATAAGCTGTCCGAATTTGTTCCTCATGTTGGCTAAAAGCTTGATTTATAGACAACCTTTATTGCATTAGTGTTTTTGATTGTGCCCTCACAATTAACAAGATTTCGGCTAGATTATTTTTAAACTGTTAAATAAACAGCTAGCGATAAAATTGTCCTGCCATTTCAATGGTCAGTTCACGTGTATTGTTTCGAGATAGCATCTCATAGAAAATAAAGCATATCATGAGAATTTGTTAACAAAGCGAGTAATTACATGGAAGTGATTTTATTTAAAGTGGCGGCTCGTAATAAGAGGTTCCAGATTATTCTCAAGAAATTTATTTCTTAAACAAGAAAGAAAGGCGGAGTGTGTAATTGAGAATGAAAGCCGAAACCATGTTGAAATCGGAAAAGGGGTCTTCTCTCCTGAGGCCGAAGCATCGAGAATTTTTTTATTATTTTAGGCAGTTGCTTAACCAACAATGCGATATTAGTAGACGCTGCCATGCTGCTCTCTGGTGAAGAATAAATATAACCAAACTCAACATTGAGTGGTAATTCAGATTGGAGGCCAATATGCATGAAGGGACACAAACGTAAAGATTTTTCGAGAGCAGTGCGCTCACAAGGATCATTTAGCAGGAGAATTGCACAGCAATTTCTCGATGCTTGGCGAAAACCTTATTAATTAAAACAACTGGTGTTCGTTTTGGAAGAGATTCCGGAAGTATTGGGGGATTTCCTTCATGCGCACGCATGCGGACCTATTTCTATTGTGTTCTGTGTTCTGTGTATACGGCTAAAAACTCTGAGCCCCCTGTTTAACCCAATTGAACAATTCTTCCGCCAATATTGTTCGCAGTTGTCAACAATATTGAACATTATTGTTGAAACTGAATCTGGTGTAACAATATTGTTCAATGTTGATGACAGCTGTGAACAATATGGGCAGAACAACATTGTTCAATCCTGTTCGTTATCAATATTGCATGTTAAGTTTTGCAAGTTGCACAGCCAGGCCATGATAGTCCAGTTTTAACACTTACAAGTCAGTCTCTCTAAATTGAGCCGGTATGTTTTTTTTGTTGCACAGCGGATTAACATTGATTTTTTCAACATGGCCGACGCAGGTGAGAATTTATTTTATTACATATTTTATTATTTTAAACGTGTTTAGTCTATACTTTCCGTGTTTTTAGGAGCCTATAGACTGTGGGTACTATATTAGTGGTTTGCCATTACAGATAGTTCAATAAAAATACCGTTAACATGTTGACATGTCCGCATACGGCATACATATACAGGGTGTATCGGACTATCGGTGTTTTAAAAAAATGGATACAGTATAAAACTTCAGTGCGATATTGTGCATAAATTACTTGATAAACAAGTGTAATGTTATTATAATAGATCAGATTTTTCGCTGCTGAATGGGCCAATGAGGCGTTTTTATACGAAATGGAGAAAAAAATGAGCAAATACGAGCTCGATTAAAAATAAAAAATTGGGGTGAAAATCGCATATTTCCATTGGGTATTCTGTAAAAAACTTTTGAAATTCAACACTCATTATTTGTCGCTTTTCCTTAGTTAATTGTTGTAAGCATCACATGAGTCATGAAACATATCATTCAACTCATAAATATCATGCTCCCTAATCAAGTAATTTATGCACAAAAATGCACTGAAGTTACCAAGGAACTACCAGAATTTTACCAGGAGCTACCAGAAAAATATGAAGAGAACTTGGGGGTTTTCAGTATTTAGTAGTTTGAAGGTCTTTTTTTGCAAAGTACATTTGCTATTTTTGCGATATCTAATGTTCAGACATGTGACCTAGGTGTAGATGTGTCCTAGTGTGACCATGATTTGGATGTGTCCTAGCCCACTAGCTGAATCTTTGCCAACACATAATAATGGGTGCTTGCAGTCTACATGACTTCTTTATTTATAGTCCAATAAGGGCAAAAAAGACAAGAATAGTTGAATACTTGTATTGCCATTTCCAGCCTTGATAGTGGATCCAGAATTATTCTTTTCTATAACAATCCTTAGCAGAATTTCTGCTTTCAATTTGTTGCATTTTAAATTTAGACTTAGAGCTGGATTCAGAAAGAGCCTCGGCAAACTTGACTCATCAGACTGTTAGAAAGAATATTTCTTTGAAATTGAAACCGAAAACTGAAGGAAAGCCGAAGAAAAAAGACAGAAAGAAAAGTGATAAGAAAAGCATAAGCGAAGGTATAGCTACAATTGTAGTTGGAATTCAAAAATTGTGGGAAGGTTTTAAATTCCTCCAAATGGAAAGTCTTTAAATTCCTCAATATACATATGTAAAATTAATTATCATTGATTGCACTAGGTGAGAAAGAAAGCAAAAAAAAAAAAGCGTCAATTGAGGCAGCTTCTCTTGCAACAAAATCTGGAAATGAATTACTATGGAATCAACAGGTAACTGGGACAGATAACTCCTGTTTTTTAGTGCCTAACATCATTTAGTGCCTAAAATCATAATTGATTTACCCCCTCACCTATTCCCGGCATTACCATCATATACATGTACATTGTACACATTAACCATGCTTGCTCTTGTCAGCTACCTCTGTAGCTCAGTGGCAAGAGCATTGCACTGGCATCGCAAAAGCATAGGTTCGATTCCTGCTGGAGGATCGATAGTTGATTCATTTTCCATCAACTGTTCCTGGCTTCAATTTGAAGCTGAATCTGTATAATTCCACTCAAAATTAAGACCCTTCGAACCTATAGAATTTACCAACATCAAGTGAACTGCCTAATATCATAACTTTCTATTTTTTCAAGTTGTTGCTTATTGGTCAAAAAGTTCAAGATCCCTTACTTCATCAATGTGAAACATGTGCCTTGCCAATACTGCTGTATGGAAGAATGGTACAAACTTGTTTTGCTTTATACTATATTTAGTATTGGTACTTCATGTTATATGCACGTGATGTACAATATTTTGTTGTTGTGTATGTTTCAGAGTCCATGTAAACATGCATTCTGCCTGTCTTGTGCTGAGAAAGCCAGTGGAAAATGCCCCAGGTACATACCAAGACTTCATTTTATATTCCTGCATTTGCTGTCTTTAAAGTCCAGTCTGATTGGAAAATCATCTGTAACCTACCCAATTTGGCATTTACCAGTCCACTATCTGAAAACTTTTTGTCAATTGGTTTTTTTTTGCTTATCCATTGCATGCAGTACCACATTCTAAAGTTTTGTTTAGTTGTTCTTCGCATTATGTATACAATGAGTTAAAAATTATTGTACACATATTATTTTACAACAGATGCATGCCTAGTCCAGGCATTTATATCAGTTGTAGGCGCCTTGCTACAGTCCTAGCAAAGGCGTTCCCCATTTTTTCATAACCTCTAAGTTGTCAAAAAAGACTTGCCAAATCAGCCAGTAGCTAACACACTCCCGCGTTACACATTAGATGCGGTGAAATTGTACAACGTATCGAACCAGCTCGCCTGGGTCATGTATTCGTGTGTTCCTTTGGGGGCAGTCGCTATGGTATATCGGGCTGTAGACGTAGCTACCTCTCTCAACGAGATCTCCACGCTCATATTAAGAGACGGCATCAAGCAGAAGCTAGTACAGCTGCAAGTGACTTGTCTCCTGAATTTGCAGCTGATTTAAAAAGATCCGAAATGCCCACATACCCGAATCCTATGCCAGCCGTTCCTATTCTTCGAGAGACGATTCCACCTCCAACTGATAGAGCTTTTGCAGGTAATTTGGGTTCGCTGATCTATATTCGGTCACATCAGATCATTGTTGATGATAGAACAACAAATGACAAATTTCTTTTATTCAAAAGGTCGCCTTCCTTTGGTTACTGACCGGCCAATGCAACACCCAGTTATCCCTATAGATGCCTATCAAGCACGCCAACCCGCACCTAATTTTCCACCCGCGCAAAGCGTGGTGCAAAGAATGGCTACCCCACCGGGTCCTCCACGAATGATCCCCGGGGATCCGAACCTCGTCAGACCACGGTTCGAGGAAATATCCCGTCATGCTGTGCCCGTGGGCCAGGCTAATGTACGATTCTCTGCACCCGAGGGTGAGATACGACCTGGTTGGATACCGAATGAAAGAAAGTGGCCTCATCCACCTCGCGGAGAGGGGAACTGGATGCCACCAAGGTCAGACCCAGGGACAGTGCCTGTGCCCCGCTCTGTAAGGCACGAAAGACCACCTTTTATTAGAGGTGCAACACCATTCTACTGAAATCAGATGATATTAGATTTTCATGTTTTATATGCGGATTTAGTTTCTGTATAATTAGTAAATACGAAGTAAATACGTAGGTAGTAAATACGAATGCAATAGCAGACCTCAATACACTTTGTTTTCGTCAAAATATACGGTACGAACTCATTAGTACAAAGGCGTTGTATTCTCGGCATCTCGTTCAATTGCTACTCTACTGACTCTGCTTAGCCGTTGTGGTTGAAAATTGTTGATCATTTCTGTTTCAAATATTCAGTAGCCTTTTTGGCAGACGGTCCCTACATTTTGAGACGAAGAACTAAAGACTAAAGTCGCAAACGCAATAAATGTAAATATTTATGAACACTGTAAAATCATGAACATTGAAATTATATTCACCGCCAGTGGAAAATCCGGCACATGTACTTATATGATACGAGAAAATATCAAAGATTACTGTGTCAGACACAAAACGCTTGTCTTGCATGCATGCATTATTAACATATAATCGCTTTCAGTATATGAAGGACTTCTAAATTTATAAATATGTTTTTCTAGTGACTTTAGGTAAGCGTAATGACCCAAACTCGACAACACACTACAATTCATCATGTTCATTCGCTTCTACAACATTATCGACAGTCTTTAACGTTTGCCAGAGATCTAATAAATACCCTTGTGAGGCCTTCAACTTTTCAGCTGCTTCGCTGAACTCCGCTGTCCTTTTCTCGGCCCGTGATTTCACGGATTCGTATAGGCCCCAGGCTTCCTGTACGCTCTTTTTCATCTTTTTAAGATTCTGGTCATGCGCTGCGTCTCTCTCGTCGACTCGCTCTTGAATAGCTTTGATTTCTTGAACTTTTTGCAGAACTTGCAGATCTTTCTGTCTACACAGTTCGTGCAGGCGGGCGTTTTCTTTAAGAATGCTTGCTTTTTCATTTTTTATTGCATTTATCTCCCCGTGTACTGCTTTCTCCGCCTCGAGCGCTCTACCATGGCGCCTTCGAAGTTCGAGGCTTTTTGCCTGCAAGAGTGTATCTTTCTGCCGGAGTTCCTCTACAAGGCTTTGCAATTTTTGCTCAGCGCTGTGTTTCTCTTTTTGCGCACAATCGACAATCTCTTGCATTTTCAGAATTAGGCTCTGGACTTTTGTGGTTCTAGTTTTGAAACAGTCCAGCTCTTTAACGGCCATCGTTGCCTCATTCTGCCCGCCACCTTCGGAATTGCTGATGTCGAACGCAACGGTCGGGATTGGTGACGACTGACAAGCGTTTTCCAACAAAGCACGTATTTCACCCTGATGCTGAAATTGAAAATAAACGTAATATGTTCTGAATATTACGTCTAAGTCGTTAAAACGACTATGTGTAAATTGCACACAACATGTACATACCTTTGTCAACATTTCTTTGACGACAGACTCCGTTTGTTTTCTGCTGACATTCATCATTCTTGTTGCGTCTTCTTTAGTAAAACCCTTCGTATTATCTTTGCGTTCATCGCCATTTGCTCCACCTTTGTTCAGTTGCATTCTCTCTAAGCCTCTCTCTGCGCGCTTCACCTGAATTCAAAACCAATTTTACTCTTATTCATATCTTATTTGCCCACCTAACTTATCAAACTAACTGATTAAACTAATCCTACTAGGATCAATGACCTACCTCCCGTTCTTTATCACTTGTTATTCCCTCGCTTGGAAGAGAGGGTGATGGAGGATCAAACGTAAACTCGTGTTTCGTCACCTCGTCACACAGCTTATCCCAAATAGTCCTACTTATTTCAGTATTCACTTCCGTACTTCGCCGTACTGGGCTCGTGGAACGGTCCGCTCTATTCGATTCGCGTGCTTGCATCTTCGGATCCAGTGCCTTCTCCATGGATGTCGACAGCTCGTTGAGTAGTTCGTTTGCTCTTCGAGCTGCTATCGACGTTCGCCGACTCTTGCTCCCGCCTGCCGAACAATCTTGATTGTTTTGAATCATTTCTTCAAAGAACTTTCCCAACGATTGCACAATGCCTCTACATCTTCTCAAGGTGTCTCCTGTTGACAAAGAAGATGATCAAAGGTAGTAATTATTGTCATTCATATTCTAATATCTGCACGTCAAATATCAATGATCCATTAAGGCTGAGATATAGTTTAGAGATACGAGTTAACCACCATACCCAGTTCCCTGTTAACATGTGATAAAACCCATTTCATGAAGTCGAAATGGTTAGTGAATTTATTGATTTGAAAATTGAATCCTAGTTTTAAGCTCGAAGGGTTTCCATCAATTCGATCTCTACGGTAGTCGGTAGCTCTACCACGAACAATAGTTTGTCCTATTTTTGCCGTACCTTTCTGGATCGCTTTGCCCTGTCCACGTCCATGATCACATTGATTTGATTGCTGAATGGTCGTTGATGTCAGCTGGTTACATATCCCTAAATCAGTTTGGCTTCCTCTGTCATGAGTTGGCCGTTTTTCCGATCGACATTTATGCAGTTTCTCTTCTAGTTCTGTTATCTTATTGGTCAATGCGTTAACGCTTTTTTCCAACTGACTCCGATCATCCAACAGCTTTGCCTCACGTTGTTGCAACATTAGAACGTGGTTCTTACTCAAATCCTACAGTACGAAATTCATTTAGAGGCCCACTTACACTTTGTGGTGTTGTTTTAGCTATGAGCAAATTAATTAGCAAATATTTGCATCCGTTCCACTAGTCTTGTTCTCTATGGTAAAATCGTATTATTCTTATACCTGCTCACTTTCCGATCTATTTCGTTCCCCTGGACTCAAACTTTGACTTCTTGAATTTCGCGATCTTTCTGAAAATTTCGTGCTTTTGTTTCGTTTCTCCAACTTTCCATATTTCTCTCGATATTGATCTAATTCTGAATCGATCTTCTTTAAACGATCTTCGAGATGCGTAGCGGCTCTTGTTCGACTTTCGAGCGCTCTTTTAGTTTGAAATAATTGATCTTCCATATCTTTTAAACCTTCAAGAAAAAGATGAAGGATAACGAGAAAGATCTATCACAGTTTTGCAAAGTATACACAGGTCTCACAAAGAACTGCAGTACATGCATGTTGCCACATGAAGACCTAGCTCTACACCCGCGCCAGCATGGCAGTTATAGGGCTTGGATCTTTTCCATAGCTAGCGGTAGTGAAAAATGTCGAAGGGAATCTTTTTTTTCACATACATGTGACCAGCTTTTCGACTTTGACTTCTTTTTCGTTGACCGAATGACGCAATCTGTCTCGTTCTAGCTTTAGTTGTTCCTTTTCACTATGAAGTTCGCTGTTTTCTTTCCTCAATATTTTGTTTACAATTTTCCTCTGCCTTGGATTCTTCACTTCTCAGTTTTTCTATCTCCACATCTTTCTGCAGCAATCTTTCACGAAGTTCATAGTTCTCTTCAGAGAGTAATTTTAATTTTCTTTCTACATCTAGGGAAATGCAAAAAATTGAATGTAATCTGGTTAGGGAGTTACCTCAAGTGATGATCCCTGACACAACTGCATCGATTTACAAGCATAAGGTATAAATAAAGTTAGTCTATTTCAAACTATAAGAAAAGATTATTCGTGTTGTCAAAGGCTGCATTCATTACACGAGTGGTCTGAACAAATTAAGAAAACAGTTAGGAGAGAATAGTTCTCAAAAGTAATTCTATTTTATAGAAGTTACTCACGTTTCATGTTGTTCATGCTTTAAAAAATTACAAATTACTTCATAAATAGGAAATCCCTTCTTCACAATTTTCACTCGATTACAGTCTGTTGCGCATGCCTAATTCCATCTCCAATATCATGACGTCATAATCGCATTATATTCATTTTGCAACACTGAGATTCGCTATGCATCGAGTAATTATACCAAAAAACATGCACACGATGTGGAATCGGCCACTTTTGGCATAAACGGGGATTACGGGGATATTTTGCATTTTATAGTAGCCGGGCTCATATAAACAGCCCCTAGAGGCTTAGACGTTACTGTAATTTATTTTATAAAAAATATAGAAAACGTGATTCATGAAGTATGCATAAAATTTGTTGTGAATGTACGCATACTATACTAATTTACCCTTTCTCCCAAAAGGCTTGGGCAAATCTATACAGTCCAATGTAGTAAACCAGTACACATGTATAACTTGGGCACTCGAGTACAATACAACTCACAATATCGGTTTGCTGCGCTATATCATGCATGCAAGATATACCTGCGACCCGGCGATCCACGACAATTTACGACAACGGACGAGGGCAATACAACTTTTAAATGTTTATATATCAGTGACAATACAGCAAATAATCCACACGTGGCAAACAAGCGAGCAGAATTTTAACAAACCTTTCCTATGAATACAAGCCGGCAAATCATTGACATTGTAAGTAATCGTTTATACAGTTTTCGTATCAACCTGTTTACTCAGTAATGGTTTTAAACCTATTAAGCTGAGTATGCAATTGCTTTTCGATTGAATCCGCAAATCATTAAGTTTAATATTGTAGTTATTCAATATTGTCTTGTAAAATTCAATTAGAATCAACTCCTTGACATTGTTTTGAAAATCACGTTCATTCTAAAAGCCGTTTTTCGATTTTATATATAACTTTGTTTTGTTGAACTATACATGCACAAGTTTAGTTTATTAGGTAAAAGTTTATGGATCCTGATGCTTTTACTGCATTTATTGCTTACTTGAATGATTTTTTTCTTGCCTAGAGGAATAATTTTTTACAACATTGCAATAATATTGAACGTTTCCTAATTCGGCAACTGTGCACAAAACAAGGACCTTGAAAACTTTAATGACTTTTATTTAATATGAAGTAGTGTTTACTAACCTTCGCCATCAGTGCCATCAGCATATATTTCAGTTATTTCTTCTTTACCAAAATTATTCTGTTTTTCTGCGTTTTGAAATTCATTAGATCCTCTTAAATCATTCAACTGTTTTTCGAGTGAATCGATTCGTCTTATCTTTTCTAATAATTCATTTTGAAGCTCATCGCGACTCTTAAAACGGCTGTCAGGCTGTTCCCAGTCTTCGTTTTCTCCCAAGACAGAGGGTGGCTCTGTTTTGATTCTATCAACGCCAATTTTACAGTCATTTTCGCGTTGTATTTTTGCACTTGAATTAATATTGGCTTTCGTAGAAGAAATATTCATATTTTTCTTCGACCCGGTTGCCATTATGGGGATTTTTGTTGCGGTTCTTTGTCCAATTTTAACGGGAGACTGATTTCCAGATTTTGTCGCTTCTTCTGTATTTTGGGCTGAGGAATTCGCGATATTTGTTTTATTTGGTGCAACATTCTTTGCACCTTTGTGGCTATCTTTTGTATTCTCGTCTGTGATTGTATTCTCAGGGTTTCGGAGAAGTGTGGCAGACTCTTCGTTATTTTTTTCTGCCATTTTACTCTCGGGAATAGATATTTATAGGACTCGATCGTCGTTCCGCAACTTTTATCGTTTAACCAAAATTTGTTTTTTATTTCAAATTATCGCATACTTATGAAAGCTTCTTGTAAACCGTTTGTAAATTCGTCATTTGTTTTGATTGTTGTCGAATCACCACGCCATTTTGCGATAATTTTCTCGCGCGGATTTACGATTTCAATTTCGCGGCAAATGTCGCAAAAATTTATAAAATCTGTTTATTTGGGTCAACTTTGATTTCATTTATTCGTGCTTTTAAGCTGTTTTGTCTGTTTCAAGCAAATAAATAAGATATTGAATAATTAAGAAATAGAAAACATTTTCCGTTGTATAAAGTTCACCGGTTTTTCTATAGTTATAGAAACACGCGTGGGAGTTTGGGAGAACGAGAAATAATCAGTGGGAAAACGAGTCCGTAGGGCAAGTTTTTCCACGTTATTTCGGTAATTCGATATTTCGATAACTGGGGGGGTGGAGTTCGCAGGGGGGAGTGATATTCATATATTCAGTTCTGCCCAACGGATTTCTATTGTAAGCTGTTGCACTTACAAAAGAAATCCGTCGTGCAGAACTGGATATAAGAACGTTCACACCCTCCCCCTTCTGTTGCATTGAGGAATTTTGATGGTAGTGTTAACGTTATTTCCCCTGGGTTTCGAGCCACTGCGACAAGGACTGTTCATCGTCCCACCCAACAACATCATCCTGCCTTAGCCAAGATAAAAAAGTGATATGACTTTGACTGGTACTGAAAAGAGTAACATGATCTGGCAGTGCTGTCGTAACATGATCTGGCAGTGCTGCCGCTACTGCTGCGGTTACCTTGACCTTAGCATACAAGTGCTTGTTTCGTTTCCTAAAGACTTATTTCACACCTTAAAATCGTCTCGCGCTTCGTTGACTTCGGGTAACTGGGCTCATGTGAACACACCCTTAATGTATAGCTGTTGATAGTTGTAGCTTGCCGACAGTGCTAAGGATTGGATTGTCGGTATTTAGCGGGTTCGGCTTCAAAGGGCCCGATTTATGTTGCACGCGAAAATGGAGAGAGAAATGGGGATCGCGATAAACTCGTCTCAAAACCCGAAAAGCATTGTAATCACCCATAGGCCAACAATTTTATTGTTCGAATTTGAATGCCCAAGCACTCTGTTTGGACAAGCTTGTGAACTCTAATTCACAGGTTTGGACCCACGAGTGTATATAAGCATTTTTATTTCACGCGGGCATTTTTATGCACGATGAACGATAAAGTAATACTTCTACATAGCATTTTATAACTCTTGCTTCACTTTCTTGACATCCCCAGGGGCAAAAATTCGTGAACAGGGAACTTTAACTTAACAATGCCAGTGAGTGATTTCAATAGTTTTTGTTTTCTTTAAAACACCTACATACAAAACAATTAGCAAGATGGCATGTGCATGTTATGCGCCTGGAATACGATTAAAAGCTATTTAAAATTCCAAATGGCACGGGAAACTAAAATCTTAAATGAACAAACAGTAGATTCCTCGCAGGAGGGTTCTGACTTTTGATCTTTCTACACTTGGTATTTGCAGAACAAACACGTCAGTGCTATAACAAACATGTGCGAACCCTTTCGTTTCGAAATCCAGGTGACTGAAAGGCGGCATTGAGCATTGGATTGGCTCGTTTCCATCGGAATATTGGTGGGGAAATATCACCACCTGAGCGGTAAATTAAGATATCACAGGTTTTAACAGCCACATTTATAATACGCACATGCACGTGCTGACCACCATGTCATATTTTAGTTCGGTGTTGTGCCTGGTCGATGGCGTTATATATATATATATCTCGGGCCAACATAAGTCTGGAAACGAAAAGTTAAAAGGTAAGGTTTAAATATAAGCAAAGGTAAAAAACATAATTCAAATTTTCCTGAGTATACAACAGGGGCCGGGAATAGTGTGGTATGAGGTATTTGCAATGTCGTAAATCGCTGTAGTTGCTGTAGCATGCATGTGTTTGCGGAACTGTGAAACTTTGTCAAAAGCTATTGACAACAAAGAAGAACATTCAAAAGCCACCTAATTCGTTTACTCTCAGAATGACCAGGACTGAGGTACGTGTTTATGGAAGGCCTGAAAATCACCTCAAACGTTGTTGACTAGTGATGCAGAAGCTACTGAACTTAATTAAGAAACTGTGAAAGACTTCAGACAAGTAAAAGCCCGCATGCTCATAAATCAAATGAATCAATGCAAACATAGTGTGTCGTATAAAATGAACAATATCGAGCAATAATAATCGAACAATTCTGTCGTTCATGCGGTCATGTTGCGATGCATGTATAATCTGAGACCAGACCCATATGACCAAGTCAATAATTATTTGTGCATTCAGCACACATGCATGCGCTGGTATGTTTTTGACATGCTCAGAATGCCCAGATGCCGATTAGATGGAATACCTAATCCAATTCTATCACCTTATTAGTATTTTTTCCTTCACATAGATCATGATATCCAACCTAATACGAATTATACGATAATTATATTACATTTAGTTTTTATTGCCATGCAGGCGTGGGAAAACAATTACGTTTGAGAGGCCCAGGTTGTACGAAGAATTTTATATGAGATGATAAACCTCATGAAGCTTCATTAACATCTCATTATCTATTGTTTGAATTGCATTCGACGCAACCAAAATGCGACGTATAACCTAGGCCTGATACGGTCAGGGTTCAAATATTCGTCTTTATGCACGACTGATTCTTTTGTACGCTCTAAATGGGTTTCACTCAAGACTATAATACATAGCGAAACACTTGGTGGTCAAATCATACATTTCGCCGAGTTATGTCTTGTGGAAGTGAGCAAATTTCGTCAGTTAAATTGCAACTGCTCTAGATTAGGTCAAAGCCTACCATGAATATTTCACTCGATTTAATAAATATTTTTTCCATTTGGGGTCGACCAGTGTCGACCACCAAGTGCTAAATCTGTCACGTGACTGAAACCCAGCTATTGTTCCTATGATATGTAAACATGAATATTTGAATGTACTCCCCTCCAGTTTGAATGCACCCCCCCCCCCTTTAATTTTCGAATAGGCATTTCGCAAACTTCCTATTCAACAATAGATTAAGTAATATAGGTGCCTCGTTTTGAGGCTTAGTTTTACGTTGACTCAAACAAGAAAATTCGGATAAGGATTATTATAATCGATTCAGGATGCTCAATATACGATATGATATATGATATAACTTCTACCGCATCCTATTCAGGTACAAGGACGTCTTCTTGTCGGCTCACTTATAATTTTAAGAGGTTCGGGCATTTGCTTTAAACTTAATTTTCAACACTGGGCTCGTTTTTTGTTAGAGGGAATCAACAGCTCACACTTAACTCCGTAACGGGAAAAGCGGTTTAAGATTGTGAAACGGAATGTCCGGGTAATCCGACCTATCAGAACCACTCATCTTAAAAACTATTCTAATTGTTAATTAAAATTGCGCTTATACCTTAAAATCTTGTTTTCAAAAAGATGAAAAAGGTAACCTTTTCCCCTTCTTATAATTATTTCTGTATAGAACGGAAATACTTCTGATGACTAAACTCTGAGAATATGGCAAAATATATAATTTTTATGCCACTAATTATGGTGTAGACGAAATCAGCTTGGGTCTATTGTGAGGCTGTTTATATATGTATTATAAATTATTGACTATTTTAAGACTACTATGAGAGGTACTCTATAAATTACGACTGAGGAATCGTTCTAAATTGACACTGATGTCTGATGGATGTAGTCATGAAGACCTTTAAAAGTCTTATTTAACAGTCAAAACTAAAGTTATTCGCCACTGTTGAGGTTTAGTCAATATTCCTTTATTGCTAAGTAACCTATAGAGAAAAAAGGATTTTGACGTGAATTTCTGGTTCACAATGCATCATAGACTGACGCATTAGGGAACCCACTTGACTTTTTTTTCGTGTCTGTTATGTCATTACTAACGGGGCAATCGTTTTTTTAGCAAAAGAGCCGTTATCGCCCCTTATAGGAACCTTAAGCATGTAGGAAGGCAACACCACGACGACGTGATTGAAATACTCCTTTAAATTAGTGTTATGGTAAAGCGTTGTTGTATATTATCAATTGTACCAATTTGAGATATAAGACGTTGAAAACATTTTTACGTTTAGGGACAATTCTATAGAGCCTAACTCGAGGTAGCGCTCACTGGGTCCTGAAATGCAGACGTTCTACACAGGACGTAATAAACGACGTTTTGCCGTTTTAAACAGAACGTAGATCACGTCTAAAACTCACATAGATATTTAATAATTCATTTCTTTTCAATGAAGCATTGTATTGATAGCTGCCGTCGTCCCTATTGTTCACATAGCGACAACCATAGCAACAAAACCGAACCTAATATCAGCGTGTCATATTCGCATAATGATATAGCATTATTATGCTTAAAATAGTGAAATTTAGGGAGGGGATTACCCCAAGGCATGACACCACCTTAAATTGGTTGAATTATAGTTAAAAGCTGGCTGCCATTTTCGCGACTGACAATGCTATAGCTATTCCAACTAAAGCATCTTATATTATGATTTAATTTTTTCATAATCTATTGTGTGAACCTACACGCATGGTAACTATATACTACACGTTGATGAGATGCAACACCTGAAATATATACGACAATGTACTTGCATGCATCATCTTTTTCGACTGTTAACAATTTAATTTTAAGGTTGGCAAAGACAACTATCATAGTTCTCAGTGATATTAGCTACAACTATTATCCCTCTCGAAATACTGCAATCTCTTACAGTTGCAGAAAATTTCGCAGTTTTAAAATCCGAGAAAAAACAGGATTGAAAAGAGTTTCAAATTCCCAAATACTGGAGCGCCATTTTCGGACAAGTAATAGACCATGCATTAACTCCCAAATGTTGTCCCATTTATTATTAGCTCTTGATACAAACTCTGTACCGCAGAACTTTGGTTGTTGAAATTGAAATTTTGGAAAGGATTTTTTTAAAATTGCCAAGGAATACGTAGGGATTTATGGGGATTTTGGGAAGTTTACACTGGACATTTTTGTGTAAATTCTCTCTGCATGAGGAAACTTCCTCTTGTTCCGTGTTTATATATATGGACTTTTGTTTACTATTTTATGATATATGTGATGGCTATAACTTTCTCAGTTATACATGACTATTCACATTCTCCAGTCATGCTGCTATACTATAGAGAGCGATGCAAAAAAATCAGCCTTAGAAAATTGTAATTCAATTTTATCAAGTGCAAGATAAATTTCCACGATGATTATGTGTTCATGATATATACTGCAATTCAAACTGGAGTGGTATTGGAAACAATCACACGTATATACATATGCTCTCTGTGGGTAAATCTCGGATCAGTTAAAGCATCGAAAGCTACCCCATGCAAAGTGCAGATTGAATACTGAATAACTTTTGTGGTGTGATAAGCTACACATAAGCTGCTTGCAATGAATACAGCAATTCTTTTATTACCTTCCAAAAACTTTTTTAGACCTTTCCCAGTATAGCACTTATTGGCACTGAAAAAGCTACATGCATCCATGCACTTTTACTAATAAAGCAAGGCTAGTTTCTGGCAAAATCGCACTCGATCGTGCACGTAATTACATCGAGAGGGTTTGTTATACTTGGTTTAATTAACCATGATAATTTATATAGCACAAATGAATTAAATGCCATAATAAAACCTCTACTATTAACTACTAACATGAGCAATTTAACTACACTAACATGAGCAATTTTACATGCTGGCCAAGAAAAACTATATGACCATAGGAAGCTTCGTAATTTTGAGAAATTTGCTTTTTTATCTCAATATTCTTCTGTTTCTACTTATCAATACAGCCATCATTAGAAGACGTTTACTTCTGTGTGTACTGACCTTTTAAAATTGTTTAACTCTACTTATTAATAACCCTTTTTAGCCACTATGGATTTTAATTAAACAGTACATTGATCAGTCAGAGACTCAGAGCCGCTAAATTTTTTCGCGTAAAAGTTAAGACAATCATATCATGTGTGAAAAATCACCTCCTCCTTTCCCGTTTTCGCGCCATAACACATTTGAAATCGGTTTATAAATGGTTTCATATTGGTTTAAAAGTCCGGATTTAGGCTGTGTGAAAGTGCTAACTGAGAAGTTATAATACCGCTTTGTAATTAGGGCCAAAAATGTTCGTGATGGCTAAGCAGCGATGTTATATAAGTGCATGGAAAATTGAGTGTCATCAGAAATTTAAATTGTAAGCCGGCAAGATAAGGTTGCATTGGCTCCCTTTCTCATGCAGTATTTGGCTGAATGTTTCACACTGAACTGCTGTTCATTTACAAATAATATAAAGCGCGAGAGTATACCAACCAAAGAAAGTTGGAAGTTGGAACTCCATGAAACGAGGAAGGTCGACAAAAAACACGGTATATATAGACAGATGTTTAAATGTGAATGACTTTTCATTCCCTACTATCAGTAAAAACTTAGGCACATTATATTTTACATTAATATACTTAATCCGATGAACTTAATAACAGCTTTTATTAAATACGAGCAACTCGCATTCTGTTTGGTCGTGTAGAAGACTTATATATATAGGTTTTTTTGCATTATTCACTTTTTTTGTCTGTATAGCTTCATTACAACTCAGCTTTTTTTTCCCATCGGAAATACTTAATTTGCGCAATCCTGAAAAACATATCAATACTGCATTTGATTATCTAAAGTCTTCTAAGGCTAAAATAACCTTCACTCCAACTTCACAATAATCCTCTTGGCTGCACCGTCTTGAAGAAATTAGAGAGCTTACGCAAACAGGACGGCAACTTCGTAAAGGCGTGTAAGAAATGGCGTTGCTTCCGTTGTCAAAACGGCCTCGATACATACATCGTAAAACAAAGCTCGCGTTCAGGTACCAATCTAGAGATCCGTATCTAAAGAAAGCACCTCATCGAACCCTATTTCGCATTTTTGCTGATCATGCGAAGTTGATAACTCTTTCTTCAAGAGTGACTGTTAAACGCTGATATTTTTGATAAGAATAATACGAGTTAAATGCGACGTCCCAACTACAACGAAAAAAAGAGTGCCATTAGCAAATACAAAATAGATATACTCACTGAATTTTTTAGTATAAAACGGTCCAGGCGTTTTATGCATGTGTTGATGTGCAAGGAAAATATTATTTTAGCAAAGCCTAAACAAACAAATAGAAACATCAAACATTCAATAATCCTATCGAATTCATCGATTAGCGCTATTGGATTGAGACACTGGGTTTTTCGTTAATCGACTATGAGCCGCATAGAAAAGGTGCAGGGTCAAGTGTTCCTATGCTGTTGTTGAATTTCCTAAACGCTTATCATGACGCATGTGATTTTTCAATAGGCCTTGAGAAATATGATAAGCTTCCATCGCAAGGTCTTATGGACCTGTTTGAAAGCATCTCACATAATATTGCATAATATTGATTATAATTTATTCAAAAGAATTCACAGTCTGTGATTGGCTAATAGCCATGTGTGAAATCGTCATATCCAACGTGTGACGTCATAACGTGTGATACGACTTTTTTTAGTGTGATAAATAGTCGTATCCTACGTTTGACGTCACACGAATGGCGAAGACATCAACACAATGGCTTCCTCAAGTGAAAGGTTCGGCAACTTTGAGGAATACATGTTCGTTCTTTTAAATAAATAATAAAACATTTATTGAATTCGGTTTTCACATGATGTGAAGAATTATCAAGTCTCAGTTTGTCATTATCAACCCCAGGCTTCGGTTGATAATGACAAACTTCGGCTTGATAATTCTTCATATCATGTTCAACCTCATTCAATAATTGCTAATTATTCTTTATAACAAAGCAAAATGTGTATAATGAATAAAGCATATGACCACGCCTACAGATGACCGCAACATTGTTTCTACGAATGACTGCAGCCCCAAATATGCCTATATTTTCGAACCAAACCTGTATGCCCATGGCATATCCCATTCAGTATGCATATGAGCCCCCGACTTCGCATGGTAAATGTGTCTGGAGGGTGCAGTGTGTTTACTGCTCTCCGCTATGATAGGGATAATGCTTTCAAGCATTCTGATCTATATATATATATCAAAGCTGGAAAGCAGTAAACATAATGCAAGAGATTGTTCAGTAATCTATAGTTAAGATTTATTGCATTAGGTAGTGACAGGTTTCCAGATGTTTCATTTACAAACTGCTGATAATTATTTCAAACAGAGTATTAGGAATTCAGGATTGATCATTTTGTATACTTGATATTTGAGTAAGTGGAGTGGTTTGTTAAGCTCTAGGGGGTGTAATTCTTTGTATGCAGTTATAAACGGTTACTATCTGACTATATGTAATAGCTTCCGATTAGTTTAGAAAAGAGGTGTAATCTACAATCCACATGCATTGTGTACTGTGTAGGCCCAGGGCTGCGGTTCATTCGTTGTAGCTCTCCTTATCAAACATTCAAGATAGTTTGTTTTTCGCAAACTATGGCTAAACTATGAACGCTGAGCCCGCAAAATCTTCATGCCATGGGCAGAGAAGTTTAAAGCTTATTACATTGTCTCTAAGAACGGTGGCCTGATGGAGACTTTTATATAATCTGATTAAATATAGTGCTTCCAGGATGAAGGGTTTAATGCAAGGAGCAACCTCATTGCATATGCACATGCATGATGTATGCAGTATAAAGCATCTAATTATAACACAAACACTTTATTTATTTATTTATTTATTTACTTAGCGATTATATTGCGTAGCTATTTGCAATGACGGTGCGCTGTGTAATAACATTATATTAACTAATGCTTGCTGGCTTGCCTCACACGGTGGTCGCAGCTACGAAACTACCGAAGAATTTCGACTGATTTGCCAAAGTATAATATACGCGCCATTGCCCTATATAGCTATTTCCATCAGCTTAATTATAGCATACTTAACGACCTATATGTGCATTTATGTTCAATGAATTACTTTTCAATGACTATTATGTACCTAGACCTTGTGCTAAATCGTAATTATAAGCCGGACGCAATATACAATTTTTGTCGACCAACCGGATTTCTATGCTGTTTGTTCGAGGCAAATTTCGGGATTTTATTTTGTAACATGACTTTCTGGTTAAATTTTGTAATACAATAATTTTCAAATTTTTGTTGAGACACCCGTGGTTTTTGGTTTATCAGTGGTATATGTTGATTATTGGGAATTATTTGGATATCCCCTTACCATCCCCACTGCATTGAAAGTTTCTCACTATAAAGCCCAGGCATTACGGTATAAACTAACGAATCACTTAATATTGGAAAGGTTTACCAAGTAAACCGGTTTCCGTGCATGCATGAAAAAGCATTGGTGGTCTTTGCATTTCGTCATTTCTATGTTTGGACACAAACGATGTAATTGAGCTTAAAATTATTTTCTTATATATTTCAGCAAAATTTGTTCGCCCGAATAACAAAAATTAATTTGGGACCGGGCGGGTATATGAACTACAAGTTATGACATGTTGCACTCACGTTTTTGGCCGCGTTTAAACAAAATATAACCATCTATCAGTTCAAATCAGAAACCTTTAATGAACCTGCAGAAAGGTCTTTTGACCTAATACTGTAAAGTGGTCCATTTAACGCGATTGCGCCAACGGAAACGGCACAAGTGATGCTCTACAAGTACACCGGCTCAACGTCTAAATGCTTTAGAAAGGAAGAAATTATGACCATAGATCCTGAAAATAGCTATGACTTTACTCAATTTAAACCGGCCGTTTTCTGTGTTAACGCGCCCGGCTCAATCTAATCTCAAGTGCAGTTCTACTTTGTAGGACTAGCATGTAGTCATGCATTGTAGTGCATATGGACAAAATATTGTCAGTATACAACCATCAGCAATGTTACTTTGAATAACTTTGACTCCATTCTCAGCATGACAACCATCCTGTGAGAACAGTTCGTCGCTAGAGAGCTTGCAACGGAAAGTGGGACACAATTAGTACAGCATTTTCTTCAACAAAGCATTAATCCCAGCCTGTCCATGAATTAAAATGAGCTAGCCGGTTGTGTTACGGAATTTTGTGACCCAATACCTTTCACGACGCACATGTATATGCGAGTCTTACCAAAAATTTACCGACAACACAGGTCGAACTGTAGTGTATAGGTCTCTTGATATCTAAAATGTGCGTTTTTCTCATTCTTTTGCCCCTTGAAAATTAGCGACAGAATAAACAAAAAAGCGCCATTTGATAAGCATATTCGGTATTGAAATTCATCCAATATTATATAGATAGTACCTTATTAATAATAGTATTAATTAGTATCCCACAGTTGTGATTATCTCAAAAATAATACCTACTGATAATAATATCAGTTCTGATCATTTGCTACAACACTTAAGGTGGACAGTAGATATAACGAGCCTGTTTGAAGTAATGTATTGAAATCGATCGTCAGCATTAAACTACTGACTGATAAAACTGAGTCTACTGTTCAACATTACTATATTACTGAAATCGTCGCTTGTGCTTATCGTGTTATATATTCAGTGTAATCCTTCAGCCACTTAATGAGGTTGTTATTAAACCAAGTCAATTAGTATCTCGTTTTATCTAATGGGATTAACTCATATTTTCCGTTTCCTTTCAGCGTTTAAGTACTGATGAGCAAAAATATTCTCCGACAGACTATAAGTGAGAGCGACCGCGAGGACATTCATTATCTGCGCTAGAGAACTCTGGAGTACACAAGATCGTCATTTTACGTGAACCTGTTAAGAACCTTTGGTCCTTCAAACAAGGTTTGATTTTGAAATATTCTAGTAATTAAATAATTAGCTGTTTGGGAGAATATTTATATTGCGCGCATATTATGCAAATCGTGGCTTTGCTCGAAGGGTGTTGGCAGCATATTAAAAGTGATTTGGGGGGGATTGCAATAAAATACTAACGCGACTGTTTTTTGATGAACGCTGGATCCTACGGACTACGCAATGTGGGATAAATTCTGTGATTGCTCGCTCGTGCCACTAAAATCTGCGCGCTTATACGAGCTTGTATTACCGGCGAATCCCCAATAGACATCACATCACTTCGGGTATTAGTAATTACTTCACTTTGTTCGTTTTGGATTTTTGTGTTTACCTTCAAACCAACAGCGGCCTTCCAGTCGGAATTTTCGTTGTAAATTTCAGCAATGATGTTTCGTGTATTGTCATTTTTGTTCATTCGATAGTTGGAGTTGAACCGGCAAGCAATTTTATAGGCACAGTTAACGTAAAAAAATTGTCGAGGTCAAAAGTATCAGATTGCTAATTATTGCGTAGTAAAACAGTTATTCAGAGAAAATTGCGAGTACTTTCTGATTTATACCGCACGTTTTTCATAGAAAATCCAAAAAAGTTGACTTTTTGTAATTTTGTGCTAAAATGGAAAGTTTGAGTTCGGCTATAGTGGTACGGTTGGCACGCAAATTTAGCGTGACATATTTTACCGGGTAAATTTATACGCGAGGTTAAAATTTGCTTGTTAATAGAACAGGGTCAACATTGACGACACGATAAATCTGTTGGTAATCATCAAAGGTTGCAATCTACAAAATCAATTTCTACCAGAATATATGAAAACGTGTCTTTGCTGTTTGCAAGATGCAAGTATTAAATCTCGATCTTATGATTTGTTTCGGAAATGAGTGTTAATGCATAATGCTGTTATTACGTCATTTCGTTCATCATTTAGCACTGTTTACTTTGCACGCATAGTAGAAATACTTTATGCAAGTGCTTTGAAATACATAGTGCATGCCTGGATAGTATTGCATGGCAATAAAGTGAACATGTACGTACCCAAAAAAGGTTATGTTTCGTGCACGATAGAATTACGCCAGGAGCGATCTGCCTGTGCCATAAACACCCACGACGCCTCGGCTTCGACTCTAGCTATATATCGATCTCCGTCCCGAATGAATTTTGAAAAGCGCGCTCAAAATCGCAGGATGTACCTTGCGGAGTCTCTCGGTAAGAAACAAAGCGGGCGCAAAGGCGCACCTCTTCTCAGTTGTGAATTAAATAGTTTTATTCCAGTCATTTCTGATTAAAAAACAGCAACTTAGGTCAGGAAACAATCATGTGAATTGATTCACAATGGAGAGAGTGACAGTGCAGCTAATAGACATACGAATTCCTGTGTGAATTTAAATTATTGTCGGTTGAAGTTGATTATGTATAGCTGATGGCATCTAATAGGAACTTCCAATGGTACGCTGCCATTTATGACACTCTATCGCTGTATCCACTCGTTAAAAAATCAGTTATTCATGTTCGTCTGCACGTTCATATGTCTAAATTACCCGTTACATTACCTTACACTTGTGATAACTATTCATTTATGATCATATATTTCATCCAAACTCGTATCTCCCCAAAGGATTTCTCAATTTGTCTCCATTTTTGTGACAAATTAGTTTGAGAGACTAGAGAGTCTCAATCATTAAACAATTGCACACTCGCATGCAGTGAGATAAATTATTACGTAATTTGCGGCTAATGACGTCACTCCGTTTCCCAGTGATGAAAGTTGGATCAGTTACGTGCCAAAAATGTTAGACGGCCTGGAAGGCGACGTGTGCGTGCTAGCACGAAGTTAGAGTTTGCCAAACTAATATAACCTATGCAGTACACAAGGCCAAAACTTTGGCTGATGCATGAAGCGTGATTTGGGTGACAAAATGTTAGTTGATATTGTATAATTTTTGAAAAGTGAACAACACAAGTGAAGTTAGTGAACATGTTAGCATTAGCTGCGCGCACGTTATGCAAATCATGGCTTAATTTGCTCAAAAGGTTTCCTCGATAACAAAAGCATTAATTTTTTAGTTGAAACGTACCAAAATTCAAATTAAACACATTTAACCGCATTTTTTCGAGGAAACGGGGGCGGGGAGGGGTTCTCTTCTCAATTTTGTTTACGGCGCTTGCTATGTTTTTCCAGCTAATCTCTTTTTCACGCATTTGATGAGAATGGTTCCGCAATTATTGGTTTATAGTTTGTACTAGAGCCGCTCTGGTATTCCTGTTATTTCTGTGAATGCATGTCAATTGACTCCTTGACTATTTTTTCTGTCAAGTGTCTTGGGCAGGGTTGAATAAGTAGATTGATTATTAGGCATTTATGCAAGAATTTACGACTGAAAAAAATGCGATTCATGCATATATAACTCTATTTTATAACTCTGTTTTAAGTATATTTACTCATTACTGTCTATTAACCCCTTTATAACCATGACATGGAAAATAAAACACCAGAAAATCTGATTACATGACGTATAAGAGCTGAATAGCTTTTCTCGTAGGAGATAACAGGATTTTCTGAATTGATTATCACAGTCTGGCACATTTAGATGCATAAAGAATATTATTCAGTAGATGCGGTGCCTTTTATACGCAAAGCTTAGGATTTTCCATTTCAGTATCGCGTGCATGTTTGGTCCGCTGTAATCACCAGCCTGAGGGCTTCATTATAATGTAAATGAAAGTTAATCAAATATAAATGAAAACTCGAGAAAAAGAAGCATTGATAATATGCATTGATACAGTGCACGATATGATCGCCATATATATCGTCATTGAAAAACTCAATTAAGAAATCCATGTACTAAATGGTAATTAAAAATCATATAGCCTAATATATATGCTCTAAAACATATTAGTTATAACAAATCTATAACAGCGAGACAGCGTTTTTTATAGCTCCTGTATAACAGAAGACCTTTTCAGAAGAAGTTTTGTCTGTCGTTTATTTGATAGAGGTTACATTTTGCCCGTCCACTTTTAAATCACAAAGTCCGGCAAAAAAAATTTCTTTGACAAATTTCTCAGTGTATCACAGGAAATTGAATTCCATGTAATTTGGCGCGTTCTCAATTCCAGCACAACCATAACTTTTATGTTAAAATCCATCAGGAACGTAGATTCTATTATCTCCAGAAGGTTTTATTGTTCACCCCAAAGGAGCTTATAGACCCCTATCGATAAGCTGAACCGCCCAAATTGGGTTATTAGTTTTTCATTTTTTGTTCAGACCCCATGCTTGCAGTCGTAACTTTGGTGTAACAGTAAAGACAAATGAGCAAATAGATTCAGTGTTGCACAATAACAGTTTGTGGGAAATTTGTTTCTCAGCTATATTTATCATAGGCTCCTAGTGTATCAGTGGCCATTGGGAAAGCTGCATCGTAAAAAGTTTTCTTTCGTTGTGACTTCTATAATCAAGATAGGGACATTTCATAGCCTTTTTCTATACCATCGCCTTGAATTGAAAATGTCTACGATAGTTTGATATGATAATGAGGCATTTGGCTGGTTATCTCTCAACACATGCAAAATACGATCGGTGAAATACAAAAGACATTATTAGGTATATGTCATTATTCGTGGCACAGCAATGCTGGGCTGGTGTAGTGCTTGAACTTATCTGATTACAAGGCGAATGTTGAAGTATGCATGTGCTTGGAGTGGAAAATTAAGGCTCCTGCAAAGTTAATTTATTTAAAATTATCCTGTCTGATCCCTCTATAGTTTGATTCGCTCTTTATTAGATCTCTTTTGACTTTACCAAGTTCAGTTGAGTTCAAGACGCTGAACTTTTCTGAACGCTTCAAGTGCACCGTTGTTGTAGCGATCGTTCAATATCGTAGCTATAACGGGGAACGAATTCTTATAATAAATATGAGACCCCAACATATAACATTTAAGAATGCCATCAAAGCAATCAAGAGCTTAATTAAGAGTTGAAGATATCTTTTGCTTGCACGGTATTCCTCTATCTCATCGTGTTGATCGGATTTTTTTTTTCAATTTTTTTTCACCTTTTGGTGACGTGGTCACCAGAACTGTTAAATATGTGTGGATATACAACAGAAGCTGTTTCATGACTGTGACAAACTTTCAACATCGCCTAACCATCAGGGTGTTTTAAGATATAACAAACATGTTGAAATTCAAAGTCTGCATTCCCGGTACCGTTGATAGTAAACATCCCTACATTTTCCCGCGGTGTTTGTGACGGATCGTAACGTGAGGTAACGGATATCTTATTAAATTGACGGACGCCGTAATGCGCGGGAAATCTTTGCACGCTGATCCGTCCGGGTTAAATCATCAAGCCGGACAATAGTATTTTTTACTTAAGCTCAGCAATTTGGGAATTCTGCATCCTATCCGCAGGGTAAATTTCAACATAAGAAAGATCTAAATACGGAAGGAAACGATCTGATCACATCATGATCTGGTCGAAACAAGGAGTTAGACAAGTTCCTCGATCCTGAAGCACTCACCAAACGCAATGTCAGAGTTAATTAGATTAATTTAACGCCAAAAACTCCATTTGAGATGTGACGAAAGAGAGAAAGTTCCTTCCGACGAGGCGACGAACATTGATCTTTCGTATCGCCACGCATGCAATTGTTAAAAGATATTCGTTAAAAAAAATGTGAAAACGATATCTGAAACGTGCGGAGTTGGAGTTTGCGTCTGAATTAGCTGAAAACTATCGTAAACGTGATGTTCATGGACTAGCGGTGTCTGTCAGGAGGTAAACGTGGCGGCTATTTTAACCTCCTATCACTATCGTTTGAAAACGGCAAATTTTTCCGTCTTGGAAGTGCAGGGTGAAATCACGACAGTTCGATATTTCATTTTTTGATAACCACTTTTGACACAACGCTGTCAGCTTTAAACATGATGCGGCTCCTATGTCCGGATATCAAAAAAGATCACAGATAAAACAAACGCAAGCCTCTTTT